CCTCCCACAAAGGCCTTCAACAACCTGGAAAGTCTGATTTTCGGCAAGGGGTTCCAAGCAAAGGTCTTTCCTGAAAGTAAGTCAAATGCAGAAGGAAGTGGGGGGGCTGCTCGGGCCCTGAACGGATTATCCTGATTTTTAACCTGGGTTTCTCCCCCCCCCCCCCCCCTCTCCACTCCTGTCTATAGTTATTTCCTGTCTCCTGCTGGCCCTGTTTGCAGCTGGACTGATTCATCGAGTTTGTGTCACCACTTGGTAAGGACAGAGGTGGGCTGGGGTGTGTTTGTGATTGAATTGGGGGTGGGGGGGATGATTTATATTAATAATACCCTGGAAAGGCCACAGTTGGAATATTGCATCAATTTTTTTCTGGTTGCCAAAAGATGTTGAGATTCCGGAAAGAGCTTAGAGAAGAACAACGAAGATGGTTTGAGGACTGGAAGGTAAAATATACGACGGATATTGCAGGAATTGGGGATGTCTAGTTTAATGAAAAGAAGGACGAAGGGGGGGAACGTGATAGCACCTTCCAATATTTGAGGGGCTGCCCCAAAGAAGAAGGGGTCAACTTTTATTCTCCAAAGCCCCTGAGGCCAGAACAAGAAGCAACAGATGGAAACGAACCGTGGTGCCCCAGGGTGGGATACAAAACAGTCACAGAAAAAAAAAGGTAAAGCCCTTTTTATTCCTTCACTTTGCTTCCAAGCTCCAAATATCTTTGATGGAAGCCACACACACACAAAAAAAAAAAACTCCCACACAAACAGTTACAAGAAGAAGGGGAAAAAGCAACACAAACCAGGCACGATAAGGTTCTGGAGGACGTTCACACGCTGGGAAGGGCACCAAACTCAAGAGAGGAACCACAAACGAGAGATATTTCCACGCTTTGTTTCCAGCGTTCACCCCCATAACGCAGGTCCGTCCCTCTTATCCAGTTGTCACAGCTGCAGCCCACGAAGAGGATCCATCCCTGGAGGTTTCCAAGAAGAGGCTGGGCCGCCATTTGTCTGGAATGGTTTTAGGGTTTCCTGGCTGAGCAGGGGGTTGGGCTAGACGACCTCCCAGGTCCCTTCCAGCTCCGTTCCGCTGTTAATCCAGACACAGATCCTCAAATCAAAACAATTCTGGGTTTAAGGGGGTGGCCTGAAATATCAGCACGTCTGGGAAACCTGGCTGGCTTGAAGTCTGGAGGAAAAAGCTATCTTGTGTTTTTTGGAAAGGCGGCTGAATCATATCAGCATAGCTTAACTATTGACGGGAGAGCCGTACGCCTAAAGTCTAAAAAAAAAAAAAAGGCAGGAGTGAAGAGAACAAATATTTGGCCCACTGTCTTAAGGCAATTAAAAGAGTTTAAAAGAATCCCTCCTGGGATTAGGAATGTGAGCAAAAAAGGGGGAAAAAAGTCTAGGTTTTTAAAAATTATTTGAAAGGCCTCGTTGGGAGGAAGGGAAAGGAAAGGAGATGAAGAAAGGAGAAAGATAAGCAGAGAGGGAAGAAGGAAGGGATAGATGGGAAGGAGAAAGATAAGACGAGGGAGAGAGAAGGAAGAAGGAAGGGATAGATGGGAAGGGAGGAAGGAAGGGAGAAAGTTAAGCAGAGGGAGGATGGGAGGGAAGGAAGGAAGGAAGGAAGGAGAAAAATAAGGAAAGGGAGGGAGGGATAAATGGGAAGGAAGAAAAGGAAGGAGAAAGATAAGCAGAGGAAGGGGAAAGGATGGGAAGGAAGGAAGGGATAGATAGGAAGGAAGAAAAGGAGAGGAAGGGAGGGAGGAAGGAAAAGAGATGAAGAGATAGGAAGGAAGGAGAAAGATAAGCAAAGAGAGGGATAAATGGGAAGGAAGAAAAGGAAGGGGAAAGATAAGCAGAGGAAGGGAAGAGGAATGGATGGGAAGGAAGGAAGGGATAGATAGGAAGGAAGAAAAAGAGGGAGGGAGGAAGGAAAAGAGATGAAGAGATAGGAAGGAAGGAGAAAGATAAGCAAAGAGGGAGGGATAAATGGGAAGGAAGAAAAGGAGATAGGAAGGAAGAAAAAGATAAAGGAATGGCAAAGGGAAAGAAAGGGAGAAAAAGAAAGGGAGGAGAAAAAAGACGGAAGAAAGGAAGGGAAGCAGGTAAAGAAGGAAACGAGAGAAGGAAGGATTGGAGGGGAAGGAAGAGGAAGAAATAGAAGCAGAAAGAAGAGGAAAAGGAGAGAAAAAGCAGAGGAAGGAAGGACAAAGGAAAAAAAAAGACAAGCAGAAGAACAAAGGAAGAAAAAGAAAGGATGAAAAGCAAATAGGAAGGAACGAGAGTTGGAAGGGACGTTGGAGGTCTTCTAGTGAGTCCAGGAAAGAAGGACGGACGGACTCCTCTATCTATCTACCCACCTTCTATCCATCCTCGCCTTCTCTCAACCAAACGGACTTCTCTCCTTGAGGGCTGATATGGGAGTCAACCCCTTTTAATTTTCAAGCCCTCCTTTAGCCTGCAGGCCTGCAGATAAGCAATCCTAAACCAGGGTTAACTTGGCGGCTAATCTCTCTCTCTCTTTCTCTCTCCCTACAGCTTAATCTTCTCCCTGATTGCCCTCTACTACATCCAGAAAATCTCTTCCACCTTCTACCAAACGGCCACCCCGGTCTCTGTACCGGTGAAGACGGTCAGCAAAAGCCGGAAGAGGAATTGACGATGGAACATCGGATCTCTCTCTCTCTCTCTCTCCCTGTTCTGGTTTCCATCAATGAATTTCAATAAAACCTCTCCCTCGGGGGATTTCGTTATATATCTATCTATCTATATATCTATATATACACCAAAAAAACCAGCAACCAGACTGGTGTCTTCTTGCAGCTTTGAACCATCTGCTTTCTCATTGCAATCTTTTTTTCGTGAGCGCTTTGCAAATTTAATTATTTCTCCCCAGTGTTGGAAAGGCAATTTTTTTAAAAAAAAATTATCTGCCATCAGGGAGTGACTCCCTAGAAGGTGGAAAACTGGAATAATTCAAACATAATTCTAGTTTTTTTTTTAATATTGATCTCCTGGCCTATCAAGACGATGGGAGTGGCACTTTCCCAGATTATTTCTCCCCCCCACTGCGAGGTAGGCTGGATCGAGAGAACGAGGAACTGGCCCCAAATCGATCCCGGGAGATCTCATAGATCAATATTTCTCCACTTTAGCCACTTTGAAATGGGTGGTTTTCATGTCCCAGAATTCCCCAGCTGTGATTTTTGGAAGTTTGAAGTCCAAATAATTTAAAACATGCTGGCTGGGGGATTCTGGGAGCTGAAGTCCATTCTGGCTGGGGGATTCTGGGAGTTGAAGTCCATTCTGGCTGGGGGATTCTGGGAGTTGAAGTCCATTCTGGCTGGGGGATTCTGGGAGTTGAAGTCCATTCTGGCTGGGGGATTCTGGGAGTTGAAGTCCA